TTTTAAGATTGCCTTGTACTCAGCAGAAAACCTTTGCAAATGATCCATGTTTTTGCAGGTCCGTCACTGAAACAGCATTCCGTAGCATATACGTATCATAGTTTATTTAAATTTCCTCCTATTATGTAGCATCCTAATTGTTTCCAGTTTAAGATTATGGCAAATAGTGTTGCTTTGAACATGTGTAGGTAGGTTGTAGAGAGCGTTTATGTGTTTATAGATTTTCATTTCTCTGCAATAAATTCCCAAGGAATGTTACTGTTGGTTATATGGTAAATGCATGAATTAGTTTTAAAAGAAAGCAGTAAACAGTTCCCAGAGTGGCTATACCAATCTGCATTTCCACAGGCAATAAATGAGGTTCCTGTTAGTAGGATTATGGTCTGATCACAAAACCAATGATGGGATTGCACTGCTTTCTCAAGAACAAATAAATTTGCGTTCTGCCTAGGATTCATGGTGGTAAAAGAGCTTTGGTGTTTCTGATGGTAATGTCATCCCAGTCAAAGACACTGTGCCACATTCTGGAGAAAGGCTCAGAAAAACACTATCCAGGACAAAAGCCCAGGAAGATGTTAGTTTTCCACTCAGAACAGGTTCAGGGGCACATGCAAGTGTGCAACAGTCCTAAAAGAAAGGGCACACAAGGGCAAAACAACTTCCGAGGAACATGCACATGTATAAATTCTAAATATCGTCCTTTTATAGACAGGAGACCAAATATAACCTATAAGTAGGAATGGGTTCATTTCTTCTAAAGACTCAAGGGAAATCAATTCAAATTAAGATGTGAAGACAGGCTAAACAAAAGGAGCTAGCACTACATCACAAAATAATATGATAAACCTAGCTCGTGTGTGAGGGGTAATTATATGTCAATGTCCTCAGTGAGAGAGAGCCACGAGGACAGACAGACAAGCAGATGAAGGAATATTTAGTGCAGGAATTGGCTTATATAACTATGGAGATTTTTGAGGCCCCATTATGAGCTGCTGGAAACTTTGAATGTTACTAGATGGCTCAGTCTAATTCCTAAAGGGCCAGAACCAGGGAAGCTGGTAGTGAAAGTGACAGTCTGGAACTAAAGGTCTGAAGAAATGGATGATTAGAATCCTGGGATGTAAATACGCGAGTTGTGATGTCTACAGGCAGGACAAGACGGTGTCTTAGCTCTATAAGCGAAAGAGACAAATTCCTTTGTTTATTCTACCCAGGTCCTCAGCTGATTGGATAGCACCCATCTTTCTAGAGGGTGGACTCTACCCACTCAGTCAGACTTTACCCACTCTGGCAGTCTTCTCTGAAGATATCCTTAAAGAACACTCCAGCAAAATCCTTAACTACTTTTCCAAGTATTTGTTAATCTCATCAAGTTGATATCTAAAAGCAGTCATTGCAAAAAAACCTTATGTGTTTTGATGCAATTAAGAATGGGTTTTACCCCCTTGTGAACATGTCAACAATTTTAAAAAAAGACTAGATGAAAGGAAATGGAGGTTAACACAATTAATAGGGCTTTAAATGTATGCTGAAAATACGCAAAGTAGTAAAGAATGGTGAAAGTTTGTAGTTAACTGGCTTGGGATAAATTCTTACAGGCTAAATCCTAAGGGATATTGAATCTGGAGATTTGCTGAGTTCCATGGAAACCATCCAGAGCTGGAGGCTGCTGGAAGAATGCTGGGGTGGTAGTTCACCCTATAGCCGGCCTCTGCACCCACAGGCTTAGATCCAGATTGTTGATTCATGCCGGAGAGGAGCTAATGCTCTTGCAATCAACACTTCATAGGTAAGGCCAAGCCTGCATCTTCTGAATCTCATGTCTTCTAGAGACTTGGTTCTGCACCAGGGTATAATAGGCAGCAACCCAAACACCTACTGTTTTCTCAAGATAGTTAATTCAGTTTATTACATTTGATGCTAGCCACTGGGCATACACTCAACAATTGGCACAAAACCCAGGGTATGTGGGCCAGCATACCAGGTAGCACAGATCAAAGACCAATGTTGAAGTGGGGAAATTCAAGCAGGGCAGCACGGTCAAATTCAAGTGTTGAGATGGATTGATTACTGATTGGTTGCAGGAACTACTGTTTAGAAGACTCAGATCACTTAAGTAGCAAACTTGCTGAGAACATTAAGACCTGGTGATGTACAGACTGTCAATCTTTCTTGCTATCACTAAGGCCTTAGGAGTAAAGTAGAGGCAAAACTCCTTAGTAGAACATCAAGGAATTCTTAATAATGTAAAGTCAAATAAATGGACTACTACTTTAATTCACTGTCCCTATTCAGGAAGTGCATGCTGTCAGGTAACCTGGGTATTTAGTGTTCTGCCAACTCTATATACTAGGAGAATAAGAATGTTCCTAGGACACTTTGCAACTATGCAATGAGTCCTGAAGATTCCAGACTTTTAAGTTACTATGTGTGATTGTTCGTCTTTTAATCATCGTTAGAGCTGGCTAGAAGATGGCTTCTATTTGTAGAGCCTGGAGACAGGGCTGCCTGCTTCACCTGTGATGAGGACCTCAGTAATGGAAATGAAAGGTGATGTTTTAGAACATGGGAGACATTTTCCCAACTCTCCATTTCTGGGAAATTCTTCAGAAAGACTGAGGTAGTATTTTGGATCTGGGTATGCAGTCACATTCAGCTTGAATGAGAATGTCCTGTCTTGGCCATCTAGGGCTCTAGTTCAGCCCAAGAAGCTGTGAGTGCTAGATTTTATTCTCCGGATTGCATCGATGATGTCAAATGCTTTTGTTATGATGGTGGTTTGAGGTGTTGGGACTCTGGACATGATCTATGGGTAGACCGTGCCAAGTAAGTTCCAAAGTGTGAACTCTTGATACGCACGGAAGAACAGGGTTTTGTTGATAAGATTCAAGCTGTATAGCCTTCTCTTCTTCAACAGCTGTTGTCAAATTCAAACACTCCAGGAGAGGAAAATGCCGACCCTACAATGGATATTTGGACTTGGCAAAAGTTCTTCAGAAGATGCAGTCGTGTGAGACACACCTATGATTAGAGCTGCTTTGGAAACGGACTTCAACAGAAGCCTAGTGATACGGATAGGTCAGGGTCACACCCTGACAGCTGGAGGGAATTACAGAAAAGGTAATGATGCTGTGGCAGCTCTTTAATGCTGAAAATAGAAGAAGAGAAGGAAAGACAGACTGAAGAATGACATAGAGTGACTTGTCTCTAGCCAGAAGAGCAGAATGGCCCTCTTTCAACATTTGGGGTGCGTCCTTCCATTCCTGCATAATTGTCTAAAGGTCAGTGTAATTACAACATTATAAAATAGAAAACACAGATACCTTTGCAAACAAGCAAACTGGTTGACACCATTTTAGTTAAAGGATATGGTGTGGCCATAGGTAAGCAAGGTGGCAAGGATTATGGTATACCACAGGTCCTTTAACCCTATGTTTATAGGCTGATGATGCTCCCTACAGAGAGCGCTCCTACTGAGATTAGTTAATATCCAGATGTACACAATAATCCATGGTTACCAGGTGTGAGGAAACATCACTGAAGGAGAGCCCAGGCTTTCTCACACTGCCAACATACAACTGGTTTTTGATTTACCAGGCACCGATAAGAGAGAACTTCTGTTTATCTTTTGCAACTTCTGCTTGCTTCAATAGTCGTGCCTTTTAAAACTGCGTGGTCAGAACAGGGTGATACATGAGAAAGTGGGTTGTTATAAAATTTGAACCAAAGCCCCTGGTGGCCTCTGGGATTGTCGTTTCCATCAGAAGAATGTGTGCTGCTGCCTCGAACCCATTCCCCATCTCAGCCAGGCCTGCCATAGGCTTCCTTTCCTGATGAGTCTCTATCACCTGTACAGAATTCTCTTTCTAAGTGTCATTTCCAAGGGCCTCCCCACTTCAACATTTCATTAATTCTGCATTTGCACAGACATGTGCACAGAAGCCAGAGGAGAAAACTGCATTATCATTCTCTGCCTTGTAGCCTTGGGACAGGGTGTCTTCCTGAACATGAAGCTAGGATGGTGACCAGCGAGCCTCAGCGATTCTCTTGTTTTTGTGACCCTCTTTCTCCCACAGGCCTAACACAGCACTAGGGTTACAGGCAAGCAGAACCATGAATGACTTTTTACGTGGGTGCTGCGGTCCTTATGATTGCACAGCAAGTGATCTGACCAGTTGAGCTGTCTTCCCCACCTCACCCTCCCTTTCCTCAACATTATAAAACATTAACCAGGACTAAGTGTGCTACTGCCAAATTAATAAAATCAAAGCGAATGTTAAGTGAAAGATTTTAGATTTTAAGCACAGAACAACACACAGAGAATCCTGCTCAAGGTTGAGTAGAGATGCTGCACGGGAAGGCGAGGGTTGCCCACCGGGAGAGGAGAGGATGGGATTTCAAGGGAGCCGAGTGTGAAAGACCCTTTCAGCCTTGAACAGTGCCCCACTGTTCCTGCCTGGACACCAACGCTCACCTGATGACGGCTTCTTTTGGCCTGGTCATATCTAATGGTCAGTGCCTCACATTTTGCTCTAAGCGTCTATCCTGTTCATGTTTCAAAAGGGTTTGGTTTACATATTTTTCATTGAGATGTAACAATTCTCTTTGTGTGAGTAGCCATGAAAGCTGATGCTCCTTGTCACTGGCAGTGGCAGTTACTCATTTAAAGTAAGTATTTATGAAAATGAAATCACTAATATTCTATAGTTAAATATAACCTAGTTCTACTCTCATGATTTTTTTCTTTAATACTTAGCCCTATAAAGATGGATTTATATCCAAAGACCTAATTTATTCCTTGTAAACATATTCTAATCATTTTTGTTTATTAATTAGCAATATTAACATTGAATTTTTTTAAAAAAACTAAAGCAGTGTGGGGCGACTCCTCTTCACCATACTGCTAGCTAGCCCTGTTCATTCCAGCCCCACATCCCTGAGGCATCTCTCTTCCACACTGCCAGCTAGTTCTAGTCTTTCAGATCTTAAGGGCTCAAAGGTGTGGCTCTTTCGGGACTGCCCTTCTCTGAAGGAAGTAGGCCCATAGCCTTACCACCTCCTCAGTCTTAAGTCCCCTGAAATGCAGCCATCAGCTCGGCTCTGATTCTTCCCATTCCAGGGACGATCTCTCTCCTCTTGAAGATTGCTTCTTTGAGTGAATGGGTAGACATTGCTCTGCCACACACTCCAGGCCTACCATCTCTGTCAGGATCTAGCCTTCAAAGGTGAGCAGATTTCCTGCCTCCTCCAGGATCCCTACCCCTCAGACTGGGTTTGCTCCCTCCTGCCCTGAACGCTTCCCATTGGGCTAGCTTCCCAGACAGCTTAGGCAGGACTTCCTCTTCTGACCCCACAGGACTTCTGACCCCTACACACCCAGCTTGATCTCCTGCCCACAGCCACTGTTTGACCTAAATTCACTCTAGACTTGGAGAACTGCAGCAGAAGGCATCAGAATAGGGGATCAGCAAAGAGTATGGCGACATTCGAGCAGTGTCTGTTTGCCCAGGAAGTAGCAGACTTTCAGAATAAGATTAGGGATAGAGCCTGCTGATCTCAGTGCAAGTTTCACAAAAGACATGCCTTCACCTTCATACAACTTAATCCTCCGGACATGCATGCATCTGCACGGAGAGAAGTGGAGAAGAATGATAAAGGTCATTGAATCAAAAGGGAAGATGTGCGTCCTGTGCCATTTTAAGTACGTACTTTGCTCTTCGATTGTAACAGGGGTCATATTAAGGATCACTTCGAATAGAGACTTTTTGAACTATATAACAGTATTGAGACTATGAGGGTTTTCCAAATTGGGTAAAATGTGTTTTTTGTCATGATAGGACTATGAGCCCGAGAGGCCAGAGCGGGGAATGCAATGGTTTGAACAAGAAACCTCAGGTAGCTGCTCCTGTTTGCTGGGGCTGTTTGGGGGAGACTTTGGGTGTTTGCCTACACCACTCCTCACCCTGTATTTTGAGATAGGGTCTATTCCCGAGCTTTGTACTCAGTGTTTCAGACAGACTGGCTGCCTAGTGAGGTTCCTGAAGCTGCTTATTTCTGCCTCTCTTCTGGTCCTGCTCCAGCCCAGGGCTGATGTTTGGTTCTGTGTGGAAGCTGAGGCTCTAAACTCAGGTTCTCATGCTTGGACGGCATGTTAATTTCTCGTTAATTTCAGGACATAATAGTCTTCTATAAACCCACATTTGTGCAACCAGGGCAAAAACTGACCAAAAGTAGAAATGCATCACTCATACCTACTTTGAAGTATGACGTTCTGCTTTGTACTGTATGAATTTTATGATTATTAGTTAGATCCTTCAGAAGTACAGTCCATTGGCCCACATCACGGATAAGGCACTCAAGGTAGAGAGACAGGAAATGCTTTATGTGAATGAGTACAGCTCATCAGTGCTGCGATTCTAAGGCTGCTTTGATTAGTTCTGGGCCCATGTGAGCAAGAAGTGACTTGCTGTTCATTTTGTGGCCTTTTTTTCCGCCTTCATGGTTTTTTCTTTCCCCCAGTGGGAGGCTCCAGACCATGACATGTGTTTAATACTTTTGTAGAATGGAGTCATAAAGTTGTTACATAAATTTCTATGTAATGTTCCTGGTATACTAATTTCAGTTTGTGTTTTTGAAGAAGCAGACCCATTTTGCTCACTAATTTTCACAAGTCTCAAAAGATCAGAACATTTCTCATGCTAAAATTAAAATGCCTTTGATTATAATTCAGATCATTTACGCAAATGGAAAATGGTTAAAAATTATGCCTCTCACTGATTTGGAATGGGAGCATTCTTAAACCACAAAGCAGGACCTTGCTCCATAATAGTCCCATAGTCCTCTGCGAAAGAAACTGTCTTCCTTATTAAGCCACTGAGATTAATTTGGCTGGTTCAGTTGATGACCAGCTCATGTACACAGTCAAGTTCATTAAGAAACATTAAGTTTCACCTCTATTTTGCCTTTATAACTAAAGCCTTAAAAATCATGGTTATTCTTAGAGAAAGTACTCTGTGTGATTTTCTTGCTTGAGAGATCAGAACGGAGATGGAACAATCTGCCTAAGTCCAAAGTAAGTAACGCATTTATCTGTGGCTAACATGCAAATTTTATATCTGATATGAAAGGCTTGAATTGAGTGACTTTCTTCATAAGGAAGTAATATTAAGACTGACCAGAAAAATTAAGATGACATATGAATGATAAATCAATAGGAAATGTAATTTAATATCTATTACTTACAATTACCTAATAAAAGCTGTTTTCATAGCTTTTGTAATGATGATGAATCAGGCAATGTGTCCCTATTTGCTCTGAACCCTTGTATGAACTCAACATACACATTTAATGATGTGAACTGTGTGCCTGTCCCCTGCTCTCACTGGACTGTAGTCAGCAAGAACAAACACTCATTTTTTTTTATCATTGGTTCTCTCACTAGAATCTGTACAGTGTTTTGCATGCTATATGTATTCAATAAATAAATATTTTAAAACAGTTCCCTCTTCCTCCTTTCTTCCTCCCCTCCCCTCCCCTCTGCTCCCCACCCCAACCTACTCTTCCTCCATTTCTGTCCTGAAAGAGGCAGGCCTCCCAGGGATATCAACCAAACACGGCATATCAAGCTGCCGGGAGATGGGCAGTTCAGGCTATGCTACACTATTTCTAGGAGTCTTAGCTGGGATCATCACTGTAGATTCTTGGGAGTTTCCCTTGCATGAGGTTTCTATCTGACCCTAATATACCCTCCTCCCCATTTCCAGTCATCTTTTTTTGGCCTCTTCCCCTCTACCATCTCCAACCTGACCCCTCATGTCCTCATCCCTACCCAGCCCTAGTCCACCCATGGGATCCCTTCTATCTCTCCTTCTCAGGAAGATCCGAGCATCCTTCTCAAGCCCTCCTTATTATCTAGCTTCTCTGGGACTGTGAACTGTAGCCTGGTAAGCCTTTGCCTTACATCTAATATCCACTTATGAGTGAGTAATACCATGTTTGCCTTTCTGGGTCTGGGTTACATCACTCGGGATGATTTTTTTTTTTTTAGTTCCATTCATTTGCCTGCAAATTTCATGATGTCATTGCTTTTTTTTTTCCTTCTTTTTTTCTTTTTGGTTTTTTTGAGACAGGGTTTCCCTAGCTGTCCTGGAACTAGCACTTGTAGACCAAGCTGGCCCCGAACTCACAGGGATTCGCCTGCTTCTGCCTCCTGAGTGCTGGGATTAAAGGCGTGCGCCACCACTGCCTGGCCTAGAAATTGATATTCTTGTGGGCAGGATAGATGGTTCAAAATCTCTTCCTGTTCTCTAAGAGGACCCAAGTTCCATTCCCAGCATCTGCCTTAGGTGGCTCACAACCTCCTGTGACTCCAGCTACAAGCGATCTGACACCCTATTCTTGCCTCCACAAGTACTTACTTGCCCTCACATGCATGTATCACCACACAGACAAGCACAAAATGAAAAATAAAACAAATTTAAAAACCTTACATTCTTTAAATGAAATATAACTGCAGGCTCATCTACACAGAGAAAAGACTTGGGCTTATTTGCGTTACTGGCTCAAATTTTGCTGAATAAAAGTCCTGTCCTCTGGGGACCACATCTCCTCTCTAAGGCCTTCAAAGCCCTGGCAGGTGTGTTCAGCCTGCCTGACCCTCCTTCTAGTGGACAAGCATTGCCAAATGTCTGTGTTCCATGCAAACAAGAAGTTTCATGCCAAATACACCAAGTTCTCATATTCTCCTGCATGAGTGTATTTAGAGATGAAATCAGCTGGGAATGAACACGGAGGTCAGCCTTCAAGGCACTATGGAGTCTTAGCCAGGAAGTTTCATTCTTTGGCCTTGGTGAAGGTTGTGTGCTCACTCTATGAAAATATCTTTTGGGCCTTAGAAAGCAATATTTTCATGAAAGCATAGGCAGAAAGAAAATCAAAAAGAATTCATACCCATTTCCTCCATATAATTAATATAAGACTTTTCTGCCCCTTAGGTTTTTCAAATCTGCAAGAATGTTGAAAGGTTATCTTTTTGCTTTCTATTTAAAATTACAACACATTCCTCAAGTTTTAATCTTTATAAACATATGTCTAATAATTCTATTATATGTATTTCACCAAACGAACTTAGATATTTAACTGGTTGTTCTACAGTGTTTTCTAACTTTTGAAGCTTTTCCAAATTTTCCTGTTAATATAGATGAAAATGCTAGTGTAAATATCATTTTGCTAATGTACCAGCATTTTAGTAAATGTCTTCCTTTTATATACACGGACATATAAACACTATAATAGATTCCCAAGAGCCTAACTTCTAAGTTCAAGAGCCCGAGGATATTCTTGCAGGATAGTTTTTAGCAGGAGGAAGAGAAACACTTTCTTCTCATAAAAAACTAATCACTACTTTTATGATCACAAAGCTGAGGTTTTCCTTTGGCAACAGAGGGAAAACAGAATGGGTCAGTGGATAAAAGTGCCTGCCACAAAGCCAGACACCCTGATGGCATAGCATTTGGAACATTTTGTACGCTTATGTTCCTTTTGAGCATCTTCTTTGGTGACAAATCTGTTAATGACTGTGAGCCACTCCAAAGTTGGGTTATTGGTTTTCTTATTGTAGTGTTTGAAGAATTATTATCAGATTTTTAGGTAACTATTCTCAATATCTTTTGTATTTTTTCCTCTCAGTTCTGGCTTGTCTTCTCAGTATCTTGACAATATCTTCTGTCGAATGGGATTTAAAAAGAGATTTAGACTATCATCTACACTTACTCTCCTCTATCATGTGTTCATCCAGATGTAGATGTCCTGCGGAGGTGTCTATTGATGACCCTTAGGTCGGGCTCTGGGGACTTCCTTCTTCAGCTTTTTTGTTACCAACCCATCCCAGCATTTGCCATCTTAACATGAGCAAATTGCAAATTTGCCCTTCCCAGAGCCCGAGAACCCGACTTAACAGTGCTATAATCAAATGTCTTTCCTTGACTCAAAAACTGTTCCCAGGGCTGGAGAGAGGGTTCAGTGGTTAAGAATACTGGCTGTTCTCCTGGAAGACCTGGGTTTGATTCTCAGTGCTGTTCTTCTGGAAGACCTGGGTTTGATTCTCAGTACCCAGTGGCTCACAATGGTCGGAAACTCCAGTTAAAGAGGCTTCTGGACCTTTTGAAGAGCAGGCAAAGGTCCTGAGTTCAATTCCCAGCAACCACATGGTGGCTCACAGCCATCTGTAATGAGGTCTGGTGCCCTCTTCTGGCCTTCAGGCATACATGCAGACAGAATATTGTATACATAATAAATTTAAAAAAATATTTAAAAAAGAGGCTTCTGTCCCCTTTCCTGGTCTCCAAGGGTATCAGGTACACATATGCTGCAGACATAAATGCAGGCAAATTACCCAAGCACATAAAATAAAAACAAAAGCAAAAACAAAACCAAAAATAAAAACCAAGTCCACCTCCATGTGGCTGCCATTTCCTTGCCTGTCCAGGAAATAGAGATGGGGTGAATGGTGTGGGGGTAACTGATGGTCTTGGGAATCCAATCAGGGAGATTGTGTTCAGTCTCTCTGCAGCATCATGACCAGGCACAGGGATGACCTGGAACAGAAGCGTTCAATTTAATGGGTTTCGGTTTCCGGCCATGTCAACATTGATACTGTTACTTATACTGTTAGTTTTCCTGCTCGAACACTGGCTCCCACGGAGTTCCTGCCTGGGACTTCTGGTTTGGTGAGTTGTGATTCTCTTCCTTTCTGGGGCAGCACCTTACCCTGTGGTAAGGTGCTTTTCTTACAGATCTAACAAGTACTGGGCCTTGAAGCTGGCACCGCTTTGCTAGGACGGTGCGGTGACATCCAAGCCCCTGGGGTGTCAGGACGGCCATGCTTGTGGTTTTGAATCAAGTGAAGAGCAAAATACTAGCCCAGCTCTCAGAGAAAGAGACAGGACAGGTTGGTTATGACCTGATATTCTTATTTTATGGTAACGATGCTTTTTAAGAGTTTAAAAAATTTACCAAAATCATGACCACTTTGTTATAAATTATGAAAATAAATTACTCCGAAAAAGGTAGAAAAGTGTATTTCAGTATTGAAGAGACCACTGCGTGACACCATTCTTGAAGACTCGTTTCTAAGACTTCTTCTAAGCCCCCTCCTTTTCCATCGTGTGAGTGCTTTCCAGCCTCAATTGCAAAAGGCATGGCTTTCTCTCCCTTCCATCTCTTTTTCTCTAAGCAGTTGCCAAGGTTTATAGCTGGTCTCTCCTGTTTCTTCTCTCTCAAACACTAATAAAATTGGTCTTAAGCTTATGGCTCAGTTTTAAACCTGTATTTACCATCAGTTCATAGTCGGGCCTAAGGCTGTTGAGCTCCAAAGAAACATTCAGAGACTTCAGGTTACTCTTCCTGCTGTGAAAGCAGCAGATTCCAAAAGTTGTGCTCACTAAGAGCAATGTAATGTTTTCAGTGTAGATGGAATGTGCAAGGATCTCATCATAACAGCAACTAAATGAATACAGAAGAAATATAGCATTGCATATTTGATGGAATAAAAAATAAATAAGAAGATAATAAAATAAAAATGTGGATCACTAAAAGATCAAAAATGAATTCAACATTGATTGTCAATAGCTATTAACATCACACAAAAAGGCAACTGGATATCATATGTTTCTTGGAACATATGGGCTAAACCATTATTGGGTAAAATATTGAGACAAAACTCTCAGCACTTAGAATGTTAGATGTTTGATATTGCTGAGAAGTTCTTGTTAATTCTTTCAGTTGTCATAATATGTTGTAGTGGTAATAAAAAGGTTCAATTCCTTATATGTAGGTAAAGAATATGAATGTTTACAATGAAGTGATATAATATTTGTAACTTGACAAAATGACGTGCCATGGGGAGAGATGGGTAGAAGTGAGGTGAGTTAAAGTAAGCAGCAAAAAGGAAGGATGAGAGCCCAGGCTTGGCCACACCCCTCACCGCCAAGGAGCAGCGCGGAGGAACAAACATGGAGTTGTGAAACCTTTTACTGTGAGGGATGTGTGCACTGTGCCTCCTACTGATTTTGTATATATTTGAGATTTCAAAGTTTCATAGGATTCTGGGAACTATTAAGAAGGCCCAAATCCTGCCAAGTCACTAGAAAAATAAAAATGGAAAATGGATTTATAATAGACCAATGAATTTGTTAATTCCCAATTAAGCATCATAATAGAGACATCTGGTGTAATATAGAAAACCATGAACTGGTTCAGTAGGAGATGTACATATTTACGTGGATTTCTGGATAGAAGAGTTGCAAAGGTTTGCTGTGGACAACTGTACACAGGCTCAGGCATCAGATTGTATAATGCGTGAACTAAATCCATGTTCCAAAGACCATTTAATTCTTCTGCTATTACAATATCATACAGAAAGAAACAAGATGCCCAGAATTATGTTTTCAAAGGTAAGTCTGACATTGAATCTATAGAGAACACTTCTGTTGTGAGACAATGGTTTTACCCTGTAAAGATTTGTTTCTTGTATTTGTTTAATAAATGCTGATTGGCCAGTTACAGGCAGGAAGTTTAGGCAGGGTGACCAGGCAGGAAGTAGAGGGCAATGAGAATTATGGGAAGAGGAAAGTTTTGGTCTGCAGTTGTGATCCAGATACAGAGGATGCAAGATGTGATGCTGAAAAGGTACCAAGCTGTAGGACCCCCGCTTCTTCTGTGGATACCCACACCCGATCCAGGCACGCGCCTTCCCGAACTCGGGCCCGCGAGAATGGACGACTGTCCTGAAGGTTTAAAACAGACACACACAAAAAGAGAGATGCTCACTTACCAAGAGTAAATGGCCACTTTACTAAACTCAAGTCGGGTATTTATACCAGTGGGCAAGGAGGATCGAAAGGACAAGGCCTCCTCCCATCAGGAGCAGGAGAAGGAGATTGAAGGCCCCGGCGCCTCAGGAAGAATCAGCTGGGAGGGGCCAGGCGTGAGGAGCCCACTGCTAGAACCTTGATTACAGGTGGAATCACCATAACAAAGAGGGCCAGGTTCTTCCTAAGCTATCCCCTCAAGCCAGTGCTAGTGCAGAATCTCCAGGGAGCCGGAGGTCACATGGCCCTGCGAATCGCCAGGAAGAAGGGAAAAAGACCTTGGTACCTACACCAAGCCACGTGGCTAACACAGATAAGAATTATGGGCTAATATAAGTTATAAGAGTTAACGGGCCAATCAGTTTTATAATTAATGTAGACCTCTGTGTGTTTCTTTGGGACTTAACAACTGTGGGAGCCGGGCAGGACAGAAACCCCAGTCAACAGAATGGCACCCAATCTCAGCCAACATAATTCAAGTAAAAAAAAAAAAAAAAAAAACAAAACACAAATGTAAACTCACTTACTTTCCATGAAACACGAGGAAATCAAAGTTAGCGATGCTTTAAAAGCATGATATGCTATTTACAAGTAGGGTTTTTGGTTCTTAAGTTTAAAAAATAATTTGGAAATCTTAGCATAGATCACTATGTTAGAGTATTAAAAAAACCTACATAATTGATAGATTTCTCCCCCATTATGGTGTCACTGTACATACCTGGAAAGTGTATTTTGGTTCAGCGTTCCCCCTCATTTGTAGATAATTTCTGGAGTGATAGCTAAACACAGCAATTGCTAAGTCCTGTCAAGCCTGGTTGAAGTTAGTTCAAATGGGGCTCATTATATGGTACAGAATAATTATATGTTACGTGATGATTAAAATTGCTCTAATGACTAATAGAGTAGAGTTTATGTCTTATTAAGATGCAGATTATCTTGGCAGAAATGATAGATTCTGCTTCATTTACCAATTAGCAGAGGGGATTTTGTAATGGATGTGGAACGGTTGGAAACTATACTTGATGCTAGGCTAGGGAGGAAGGTTGATCATCAGTAAGCCCAAGGTACCTCATGAGGTCAGGGTTCCTGACCTGATGCTTTGGCTTGTGGTGAGCCTTGAATGTCTAGGCTATAGTCACACAGACTAGTAGGAAAGAGAAAGCAGGCTCAAAAAGATGGCAGATGACAAACTACACTAGCATTCTAGAGAGCTCCTCATGGTTCCAGCGTGTGACAGGCACCGTAACAGTAGTGAGTGGTATGGTCCTTCACAGTCTACAGATAAAAACAGTGAGTTCCAGAGACGTTAAATCACCCACAGAAGGACACAACCAGTACAATGCTATGCCTGATCTTAATTTCAGTTTCCTATGACTCCAATGATAATGTTATTTATCTTGAATAATTAAAGGAAGAAAGCATTTATTATACCATTGTTTTCAACAATGAGACTATTACCTAATATTTCATAAGTATATTGCACATAATATAAAAATGTTTCATTAAATAATTAAAAACTTCAATGAAATTTGGTAGCAGAGGATGTCCTTTTTTGTTAAATATAAGAAAGAAAAGAAATCATATATTACATATACACATTGATATGTTACATATGCAAAGGTATTTATGCTATATATGTATACATGTGTATTTAATTAAACAACTATATTAAACATTATGTCATTCAGGTTCTTATTGAGAAGAGCAACTTGTAGGAGAATAGACTTTTTTCATTAGTGTTTGAGTTTTCCTCCATTTAAGTTGATGTTGGCAATGGGCTTGCTGTAAGCTGCCTTTATTATGTTTAGGTATGTCCCTTGTATCCCTAATCTCTCCAGGACTTTTTATCATGAACGGCTATTGAACTTTGTAAAAGGCTTTTTCTGTGTCTAGTGAGATATCATGTATTTTTTTCTTTCAGTTTGTTAATATGGTGGATTATATTTGTTGATTTTGGTACACCGAACTATTTCTGCATCTCCAGGATGAAGTCTACTAGGTCTTTTGGATTCAGTTTGTAAGTATTTTATTGAGAATTTTTGCATCTGTGTTCACGGTCTGTAATTCTCTTTCTTGTGGGGTCTCTATGAGCATCTGTACTTTTCATGACACCAGTTAACGAGATTCACATTTGTAGAGTCCACTTCTCAAAGGCAGAAAACCAGGCCCGACGTCGGCAGCTGAGAAAAAAAATCACATGACTATAGTCCCTCTGAACCAGGTCACAGTGAAAACCAAGTTACAAACCTTGAACTCCCACAAGAAACTTCAGGCCTTTCAGAGGCTCTGAACTATTAAAGTAACATCAGTGCAGCTCTCAGCTGTTTAGTAAGTATGCTGGGCTAGGCAGTGGTATCTCTAAGACAGCACGCAGCTGTATAGTACAATGGCAGGCCTTCACTGAGTCCTGGTAATGTTGTGTGAGTTGCTGGGATGTTATTGTCATTCTTTGTCACACCAGACAAACCATTCTGCTGTTTCTCAAGTCAGCTGGGAAGTGATGTGAGGGGCAGCAGGACAAGCCTGCCAGCGAGTGGGTAACCATGAAAACACACCCAGGGTCCAGATCATGCTAGAATCTAGAGGTAACAAGACTAGTGATTTCCAAATCCCCATTACAGATAGACTCAAGTTCAAGCGTTGTCTATAGAATTGAGAAATTGTGAGAGGAACAAACACAAGCCTAGCCTAATGCAAGTCGAAGTGCTACAGAACGGTTCTGGCTGATACCATAACGAACATCGCTCAGCTTGACAGCCAAGCTTTCTCAGAGGCCAGAACTAAATTAAATAGATTGCGCTAATGTGTTAACCTGCTTCAGGACAGGTGCCATGGTGGTCATTTCATATTATCCATCAAAATAGACTTTTTAAAGAAACACTGAAACAAAAATAGACCATTTTCAAAAATTTTTTAAAATATACTTGTTTCTCTCTTTTATAAATATTTTCAGTATTAGTTGTTTACCTGCGCTGAATTATTACTTTTTTATGGAACATATTTGTGAATATTAATTCTTTGGAGTTATTTGTTATGGAGTATAAAATACTCCAGCAATTTCTTGCATTCATGTAATATTTTAAAGTTTATGCATGCTAATTTTGTTAAATAAATCTTTATATAAAACATTAACGACATAATAACTTCTAATCTTTTAACTAATATAGTAATGGGAACAATGACATAATAATCATTACTTAATTAGCCAGTATTTATAAAGCACTTACCATTTCTTTAGATATCTCTGAAGATAGTTAAGGATGCAAGATAAATGTAAAATATTAAATAATTGATAAGTAAACTGCTAGGCATGACGATAAATGTTACAGTAATATATAAAAGAGATTTAGGAAGAATAGGTTAATGTGAGGATTGAAGAGGGGAGATCCTGTGTGTGTGTGAAAACATTCTAGAAAGCTGAAAGTAGCAGAGCGAAGCTACAGACAGGAGGCAGGAAGTGTGAGGAAAGAACTGGGGGAGTGGGCCCTGTAGTCTGAGTGCTGACTACTTGGAAAAGTGATTCCAAGACCAGCAGGACAGACACCCTGGGTGAACTTCGTGGAGGTACTGGACCTCAGGGTTGGTCGTAAGCCCACCTAATTAAAACCCACACTTCCACAATCCTCTGTCGTTTTATGTAAAAAACATGGTTAGACTATTGGTTTCCAAATGCTAGCTGGCATTTGGCCACCTAGGATAATTTTGGCTAAATAAAAAATGCCTGGACTGCTGGTTGCTAACAGTAGAAATGCCTAGCACCCTCCCACAGAGGCTTTTGCTCAACAGACTGAAGCTGAATACCGGAGCCAGCACCCTCAGGTAATTGTCCCACATGGCTGCTCCAGGTACAAGTTGGATTTGATCTGGTTCTAGGCCAGTGGCTCTCAGTCTGGGCTGCACATTAGACTCACTTGGGGAGTTTTAAAGCATTGTGCTCGGGGCCCCGCTCAGAGATTCTGATTGATCTGCACTGCGTGGAATTCAGGGATCTGGTTTTCAAAACTTCTCGAGCGACTTTATTGGGTCACTAAGGACCTCTTATAGCTGAGATGGGGAGACAGGAAGAGGGCTGTAGAAACGCATTTCTTCTCCAATAGAAAAGATAAGTCTGAGATGGATCAATTAGGAAGATTAATTCCACTACGGTGCTTGAGGTGGATAATGAAAGCATGAGATGAGGCGTGTAGAAACCACCGTAAGAATGTAATTGAAAGCCGGGGAAAGATTTCAAATACAAGGGATTCTAGTGCATATGTAGCTGAAGCAAGTGACATAGAAGGGACTATCGGGGCAACCATTCCCCCACCACATCTGTGCCCACCAGAGCCTTGGCCCAGACTGTCTCTGCAGAGCATCTGTGAAGACTTGGCCCTGATTGCTCCTGGAGACAGCCTTGTTCTACCTACACCTGGAGGAATCCCAGAAACCGATCAGTGTCCACTAGAGGTATGGACTTCCTACACCTTGAGGAAGAGCTACCACCTAAGCCACAGGACCCACCTGCACCAATTGGAGGAAGAGGTGGGCAGACGGCAGTGTAAGAACACATTCAACATCATAAAGAGCAATATGGAACCACCAGAACCTAGAGGTCCTTCAACAGAAACACCTGAACATCCTAATCCAGAAGAATCAGAAGACAATGACCTTAACTATAACTTTATGAAGATGATAGAGATCCTTAAGGAGGAAATGAAAATTTCTCTTAAAGAAATGGAGAAGAAGACAAATAAAAAATTGGACGAAATCAATAAGTCTCTTAAAGAAAGCCAAGAAAAATACAATTAAACAGGAGAAGCAAACAGTTCAAACAGTTCAAGATTTGAAAATTGAAGTAGAGGAAATAAAGAAAACACAAACTGAGGGAATTCTGGAAATGAAAAATCTGGGTAAATGAGCAGGAGCTACAGATGCAAGCATCACCAACAGATCACAAGAGATGGAAGAATCTCAGGAGTTGAAGATACAAAAGAAGAAAGAGATTAATCATTCAATGAAAATGTTAAATCCAACAAATCCAGGAAATCTGGTACACCATGGAAAGACCAAACCAAGAATAACAGGGATAGAAGAAGGAGAAGAAATCCAGCTTAAAGGCACAGAAAATATGTTCAGCAAAATCATAGACGAAAACTTTACCAAACTAAAGAAGAATATGCCTATGAAACACACCTCAACCTCAAAGACAGACATTACTTCAGAGTAAAGGGTTGGGGAAATATTTTCCAATCTAATGAGCCTAAGAAATAAGCTTGTATAGCTATCCTAGTATCTAACAAAATAGACTTCAAATTAAAATAAATATAAAGAGATGGAGGACACTTTATACTAAAACATGCTTCTTTATAGAGGGGGTTTGTTGCCTCTTAGTGCACAAGAAGGAGTCTTAGGAGTTTGGGTAAATTTATTACATGAGTTTGGTATTCCCAGACTTCAATCACCTCTTCTGAGATAATCTACAAGGCTCTGCTCATGAAAGCACAGAGAAAAACTTTGGCGAGGGGACACATACACCACTGGTGTGTGCGTGTGTGTGTGTGTGTGTGTGTGTGTGTGTGTGTGTGTATCGAACACACTAAGGACTGAATCCAGAGCTTTACAAATGATAGGCAAGTGCTCCCCTATCCCCACATTCATACCCTTGATAAGCCTTCTTGTAGCTCCCCCACTTTTTAAAAATACGCCATACTTATAGATTCCTGATTTTACGAGGGACACTGGTACCTGATAGGAAGAAGCCCACGGCAACATTTAGCTGCTGAAGATAAGACCGCATGTGTGCAGTGAAGAGCAACAGATTCTAATTGCTAGAAAGGTAGACAGGCTATTTCAACTTACAGTATGTATGCATTTATTTATTTATTTGAGGCAAAGTTTCATGTAGTCCAGGCTGTACTTGAACATCTGACCCTTCTTGCCCCCACCTCTCAAGTGCTGGGATTACAGGTCACTGTCACTAACACCATCTTGTCATAAGTCTTAATATCACCTAAGGCAAGTCTCTTATTCGTCAACTATATTACTTTTTCAAAATGTTTGTGTCTCTTTGATTTTTCATGGAAAATTTAACTTTTGCTTGTCAATCCATAAAACATTCACTATCTATTTAGTTGGCATGGCATGTGCTTTATAGATACAGATGAACTGGTCAGAATAAAGTTTTATTTGTGGTTTTGTCTTCTTTAATGTATTTTTATAGAGATTTATATTCTTTTACACATTGTTTGTTAAGTTTATATATAGGTGTCTTAGATCTTGTTGCTTTTATAAAGACTATCCTTTAAAACTGCGTATTCCAACCATTGATTGTGAGTGTGTTGGAATACATTTGGCACATCATGTCTAACTAACTTTAATAATTGCTGGTAGTTTCTTCTAGAACTTTAGTAGATGGTTATAGTCCCTGAAAATAGTGTCAGTTTTGTATTCCTATCTGCAAGACTTTCATTGTTTTAGTTTCTTCTGGACTTTCTTTAAGGCCCCAAAGCAAAGAGAAGTGTATTTGTATCTGATTTTAGTGATAGTGCTTCTAGCTGTCCATCATGAGTCATGGCCTTTGATTGGAATCATTAGTGGGCAGGCTGTCTTTGAACTAGGAAGGCAATATAATATTCAATATAAAGCTGGTGCTTTTTAAATATTGTGGGTTATAACGCCATTGTTCTTTCTAGTCCATGGACATATGTTAAGTAAAAGCATCTCTGCCAGGCACAACAATCTCAGAGTTATTTGTTTAAACCTAATGTTATTAGAAACTGCAATCTGGTGTCTAGTGAATTATCCAGAGGGCATGTCAAGTGTAATATTTAAGAACCTTTTGAATTTCTGTCATAGTCACAAAAGAATGACTCTACTATTGGGGATAACTTGTTTATGTCAGAATTGCTCTTTCTTAAACATCTGCTAGCGCAAACCCGCTGGGCCCAGGCACTGAAATGTTCAACATGTCCTTCAGAAGCCGTGCTTCTGTGCCTGCCATTGTAGAGTGATCTGGGCATCAGAGGGGGAGCTTCCTCCAGAGTCTCAGTTTTCCTGTGCTGTGTAATAAATTATAAGAGTGTACCGCTTAGACTGCCATCACTTTAAAGTCTCCGTTTCCTCTAGTGAGAATGGAGACCTGGGTTATTTAATTGTTTTCTCACTAGCTGTTTGGACACCACAATGAACACCGTCCCTCGGAAGACATTTGATAGTGTGCCTATTTTCCTCCCTCCCAAGCCAACCAGGGGGAATTCTGCCTTTCAGGGATCACGTGATTAGATCAGGGCCACTTGAAGTAATTTACTTTAAAAAACAGCATAATTTATGTTTATTGTTTTAAATTGCATGTGTCTGTGTGGGGCCACGTGCACATGGGCAGTGCCTGCAGAGGCCAAGGCAGCGTATCCTCTGGAGCTGGAGTTAAGGTTGTCTGGGAGCTGCCCAGTGGGGACCAAACTCAGGTCCTCTGCAGCCAAGGCTCTTAGCTAAAGAGACCCCCCCCCCGGGTCCCCTGACTTTTGATTTAATCAAAGTCAAGTGGGTGAAGACCTTGATCTCCTCTACACAATCTGGTTTTTAAACCATGGAACAATTACTGTATTAAAATCTCACACGCAGAGCCTTTCTGCCCACACGTGCGGGGGGTGGGGGGTTAGCACACAAGGACAACGGTGGAAGTTCCGCCATCACACTTGGTGTCTACACGCAGAGATGGGACTCTGCCTCGGAAGCGCCTTCCTCCTGACTGCCTGTCATGATCTCAAATGCTAGTGCTCCAAACTGCAACTTTGGTTCTGAGGTATGCCTAGAGACACTGTTTGTGGTAGACGCTGGATAATTTATGGATTTTAATCCAGAAGTTTCTGGGTTCCACTGGTTTTAGCCTGCTAGGTTTCAGCTATAATTCAAGGTTACACACATATAGAGAGTGATGGGGAAAGAGAGAGAGAGAGAGAGAGAGAGAGAGAGAAAGAGAAAGAGAGAGAGAGAGCCACACTCATATTTTGTGTTACCCCTAAACTTTACTATTTATTGTCTTGCTGTGTTTAAGAATTACAAGAGGATTAATAGCCCTACAAGGATAAGGAAACATTGTCAGAGTGTTTAATGTTGCTTTTCAGAGGCGTGGAAGGTGACATCACAGTAGCCTCTTGTAGTTTACAAGGCGTTAGTTCATATGTCATGCTTGTCATATGTGAGGAGAGCCCATTGGGGCCAGCTAAATTACACAGGCTCGTTTGGAAGAACTGGGGTTTCAATGCGGAATCTTTGCTATCAGTCACAGCGCTCTTTCCTGAAGCTGCTCCACAACCTTAGAAATGAGAAGAAATGAACGTTTGCTAATATGCTTTAAATCTTCATTAAATAATAGAGATAGAATTTGGAGCCATACGGTCTCATTTTATGTAACTCTGAACTGGTTCCAAAGGATGAATCTGTCCTTGTCCTGCAGATTTATATATAATTCCTTTTGAATTGGCTTTATTATTTTTACAGTGCCTCATCACGTGTAATTTGGCATATGTTCTTTGTCTGCTTTGTGTTCTCTGTGTATTTTTATGAGGTCGTATATCTTCTTATTTATAGGAACAGCAAATGGAAACCACGTCAGTTAGCAGATTTATCCAAGGGCTTCATAGTCATTCACTCTTGTGTTATTCCTTAATCACATTTCATTGTCTGGAGGCAAATTTCCTACCAAAAGAGTGATGATCATACCCAGAATGGAAATATTCATGAGGCTTGAGATGTATGAGTACATTCTCCCATGCAGGCAGCTCCGGCAAGGTTGATAGATCTTCAAGGACTTGATGAGAGATGGTAACAAGCAGTAAGTATCAGGTAATATTTAAAACATTAAACTCACCCCTACCACTCACCCCCGCCAGGTCTGTTAAAACAGGGCCACAGGCTCTCAAAACCACAATTCTTTTGTTGCCACCTCCATGCCTGGATTTTAAAATGAAAATGAAAGTGTTTTGAATAACAATATAGACAAATTACAGCATCAAATAGATCACAGGAAGGTCTAGTGAGAAAATAATTGCCCTTCTGATCTGTCACAAGTTTAGTTGCTTATGGCGAGAATTTGCTGAAGATTAATTTCTTTCCAAAGTTGGAAAGATATTTTCTATGATGTCACTTGACTCTAAGAATGTGTGGGAGGCTGGAGAGATGGCTCAGAAGTTCAGAGCGTTTGCTGATTTTCCGGAGGACCTGGGTTCAGTTCTCAGCATCCAGACTGGGCAGTTTACAATTGCCTGTAACTCCAACTACAGCGGACCTGAGACACTGGTCTGGCCTTACAGGTACACACACATACACGGCATACATGCACATTTGTACACATAAGCAGTCTTTATAAAGAATGCATGGGAAACAGGAGCAAAATACACATGCAGACATTCAGAAGAAGACCTGGCATTCTCTTTCCAACAAAGTATCACATTCAGGCTGATACAATGTGGAAAGACTGGTTTAAAAAAAAAAAAAGGCCCTCGTTTACACAGATTTGCTGCATTCAGCACAGGTGACAAACATCTACCCTGTTTTTGATAACCTTTTAAAATCACCATTTTCATGTTTCTGTTGTCAAAATACAAGAAACAACTTAAGGGAGAAAAGCCTTATTTTGGGTCACAGCTTCAGTGGGCTTTAGTTCCTCTTAGTGGGAAACGAGCAGACAGAGAGGCTCAGTTCACC